CGCCGGCCCACCCCTTCCAGAAGCTGTGTGAGGGGGGTTGGGGGGCAGGGGCATTGTGAACCCCCGGGGTGGAGGGGGACTGGGGGAATTATTCCCCTGTTTCCTGCTTTTACTAACGAACCTGCCATTTTTGTGTCTGAACTTTGATTTGTCTGAGGGAACAGTCGGGTTTTACTAATCTAAATCATCTCCCTCCCTGCCTTCCCCAGACACCTTCCTCCATTCCCTCCACCCTTGGCTTCCTTTCCACCCAGTACCCATCTCCCCCTCTCTCTCTCTACTACCTCCCTCCAGCCCCTCCTGCTAGTCCCCTTCTCTGTGCACCTCCTTATGTTACCCTGCCTCCTGCTACCCACCCTTCCCTGTAAGAGAGTAATTAAGGCAGCCCTTTTCCAATGGGGGACACCACTTGTGGGGGCAATTTTCATAAAGCCATGGGGGGCAAGGTAATATTATGTCCAGCCTGGAGGGGAATTGAAGAGGGTGTCCCCTGACTCTGCCTCACTCCAAGTAGATCTTTCTAACTCTGAGAGGACAAAGGGAGGATGACCTTGGCAAATGGAACGTGATGAAGAGAGCCCACAGCATGAGGGAGATGGCCCATGGCTGGTGCCCCAGCTTCTGAGCCAGGGAGGGAGGACACAGCTGAGGGGCTCAGGTGGGCTGGAGGCTAAAAGAGGAGATTCTCTCCCTGGGGATCTTTGGGGCCAGGAGAGCCCTCTCCCTGCACAGAAGCTGGGGTGCGCAGATTAGCACATGTACAGGGGACTTTAGGCTCTGTCATCAAAGTTGCAGGCTCCCAGGGCCTTAGGTTTATAGATGTCGACACAGGCTGTGTGGCCCTGGGCCACAAGGCAACTTGATGTTGACCTTTAATGACTGTATGCTGTGTCTTTTGAACTGTGCTGGGATTTGTGTGGTTACAGGGACATGTTAGGCCGGGTGCCTGCCCTTCAGGAGCTGACTACCTAGTTGGGGATGAGCAGACTCAGGCTCAGGAAATAATTAGCAGCCCGATTCCTGGCCTCTCAGTACAGCATCAGGAGGAGCTGAGGTGGAGGGCAATATGGAGCCAGATTTGCCCCAGGGAGGCCCCTTTACCCTACCTGTCTTATCCCTACCACTTCATCCTGGTCCCCTTTCCGTTTCTCCAGCCCCTCTCTCCCCAGTCTGATCTCATTTGCATGTTTTTGTGACTAATACTTTGACCCTTCCCTTTTCTACCCCAGACCCCCACTTCCCAGCCTCTGGGTGGGGTGGAGGGAAGAAAAAATAATCAACAATGACTAGCCCTCCCCTCAAAACAAGACTCAAAAGCTTTCAAACTGTCCCCTTCCACAAAGACACTCCCTTACCTTCTGTCCTTGAACCTAGTTTCCCTCCAGCACAAGGTTTGATGGTTCCTGGGGAGGGCTCCCCTTGCCTGCGTTCTGCCCATGTCCCTGGGGAGTTCCTCCCCTCAGCGTCCCCTGTGACAGTGGAGTCCTGGTGACCAGCCGCTGGAAGATGGCTGGTGGCATAGGTGCGTATGGATGTATGGATTCGTGTAGGTGGGGACATCACAGGATGTGATTAGAAGGCCCTAATCTCCAGACTTTGCCTGGAAGCATGTTTTGGGGGCCGGAAGTGGAGGTGAGCTGTGGCCTGTGGAAGCAGTCTTGGGCTAACTATGAGCCAGCTTCCTGATTGCCCCTCCAGAGATCTGACCTCCTTCCTAGCTGACCCTCCGAAACCACCACCTTCCTAGAGTGGGAACTCCTGGCTCTCCCCCCACAACCTTCCTGGTTATCTTGAACCCTGTGGGCTGACCTATGGCTAGACTTTTCAGTGACCAGATGGGCATTTGCCTGCAGGGCAGCGGGGAGTCAGAGATTTTCCTGTACTTGTCACTCCCCGCCCCACCTAAGGTCACTTCTGCCTTCCCCAGGCCACTGCTGAGCCCCTCTGCCTCCTCAGAACACCAGCTAATCCCCCATCTCTACCCATCTTCCTTTCTTACTGACTTTTCAGCCCAGAGGCAAGGTATTCATGAGGTTAGTTCTGTCCCCTTCTGTTCCTTAACCAGGCCGTGACTTCCTAGAATAACAGTGGTGGTGTCAGTAGAGAAGGCAATTAGTTATGCAGAAGGGAATGGCAGGCTGATGAGTAGGTAAAGGGCTGCCCTCTACTTCGAAGGCAAGAGAATGACCTGAATATAAGGGGACCTGGGGAGTAAAGAGGCAGATTCAGGAAGGGGGCTAGGAGAGATGGGAACCCTTGAAACTTGGGTGGCAGTGGTGGGAGTCACCCCTGAAGGGTGTTATGCCACCCCAGGAAGCTCCAAGACTTCCCTGGAATATTTGAGTTCTTGGTCCTCACGCTGCTGTCTCCCATCTCCTTACTGGGCTAAGACCGAAAGACCTTCTCAGTGCCTCGAAGGGAGGGCTGCATGTGGGTCTAAGTCACCAAGATCCAGAGAGGTCCAGGGAGATCCGCTAGTGTTCTCTACCTCATTTTTGAAAGAAGCTTTGAAATCACGTGTGTCCAGAGAGTACCTCTGAGAGGAGAAAAGTGAGGGTGCTGTTTACATTCCCCCTCCCCATAATGGGGCCCTGTCCTGGAGTCCCCATTCCTCCAGGAACTACCACCTGGTGCTCTTCATGGTGAGCTCTCCAAGTTCCCTCCAGGCTCCCTCCTGCTGAGCTGGGGGCCGAGGGCAGGCCTTAGTCCACCCTGAAACCATCAAATCTTGTGCTGCCTCCTTTTCCTCCTTCCCTCTCTCCCCCCACTGTTCTTCCTCTGAGACAAGCAGACATAAAAATGGGGGTCCCCTCCCCCACTGCCCCCCAGCCCCTCCTTTGCCCAGCCTGTGGCTCTTCCCAGGGAGTTGATGCCGGTTGTCTCCTGTCTCTCCCCCTCACTTCCTGGGCTGGACAGGTGACCATCTCGGTGGACGGGATCCTGACCACCACAGGCTACACGCAGGAGGATTACACCATGCTGGGCTCTGATGACTTCTTCTACATCGGGGGCAGCCCCAACACAGCTGACCTGCCAGGCTCGCCTGTCAGCAACAACTTCATGGGCTGCCTCAAGGACGTGAGTAGGGCTAGGAAGGGGCTGGGTGAGCCCAGGAGCCCTTTGGCTTCTGTCTTCAGTGTGATTTAGTCTGACCTGGCCAAATGCCCGGGTCCTTTGCTCCTTTCAAGTCCACGGTGGGAGATATCCCCTCTTTAAAACTCAAGGCCCATTGACTCAGTCAAGAGGCTTCTCCCTGCTCATTTCCTTGAGCATTGGAAGCCCCTGTTCTCTCAGAGGACCCCTGAAGGCAGCTGTGGTACAGAGCAAAGACTGTTGAACATGAAGACTAAAGATCTGTGTATGAGTCCCATCTCTTCCACTCACTAGCTCTCTGTCCTTGGCCAAGTCACTTGACTGGCTGATGCTTAGTTTCCTCATCTATAGATGAGTGGTCACTACCTACTTTTAAGATTGTTGTCAGGAGCAGGTGAAAGTATAAGTGAAAACACTTTGTCAGTTAGAAAACGGCAACCAGATGTTAGCGGCGATTTCCTGCCATGTCATTATTACGAACTGCAATTTAGCAGGCTCTGAGACCCACAGGGTGAGTACCATACTGGTGGTGGGCCAGAAGACAGGACAGAGGAAATAAACAGTGCAGGAGAGGGACTTGTTCACAGCATCTGTGTGTAACACTCTAGAACAGAGGCCCAAGCCAAGTGGGCTGGTAGCACTGAGCAGGAGTCACCAGGGATGAGTTGGCAGGGTCCCCTGGTGCTGGCTGCTGCTGGGCAGGAGTGGACAGGCCCTGAGCTGCTTTTGCTTCTTTATTCCTGATCCCACCCCTCCCTGCAGGTGGTCTATAAGAACAATGACTTCAAACTGGAGCTATCTCGACTGGCAAAGGAAGGGGACCCCAAGATGAAGCTGCAGGGGGATTTGTCATTCCGCTGTGAGGATGTGGCTGCCCTGGACCCCGTGACCTTTGAGAGTCCTGAGGCCTTTGTGGCGCTGCCCCGCTGGAGTGCCAAGCGCACTGGCTCTATCTCCCTGGACTTCCGCACCACTGAGCCCAACGGGCTGCTGCTCTTCAGCCAGGGCCGGCGGGCCGGGGCTGGGGCCGGCAGCCACAGCTCTGCCCAGCGGGCTGACTACTTTGCCATGGAGCTGTTGGATGGCTACCTCTATCTTCTGCTGGACATGGGCTCTGGGGGCATCAAGTTGCGGGCATCCAGCCGCAAGGTCAATGACGGCGAGTGGTGCCACGTGGACTTCCAGAGGGACGGGCGCAAAGGTCAGGAGGCCTCTAGACCCTTCCCCCCTGCCCTGGCCACCCCTCTTCACCTGCCCTAACATCCTCTCCAGCTGTCTCAGCTGGTCTTCTGTTCTGCAGCAATTCCTGCACTCTTCTCTGTTGCTTCTCCTCTACCCCTTCTCTGTGCTCCCATTGCCCTGTCTGTCATGGCACATGGCAGAGAGAGTGCAGCATTTGGCATCAGTCAGAGCTGGAGTCACACCTCAGCTTTACCATGTGCTGCATGTGGGCCTCAATTTCCTTATCTAGGAAGGGAATAATTACATGTCATTAAGAGGAGAAAATAAGTGCACATCCATAAAAGCATTAGCACAGTGCCTAACACAGAGTAGATGTCCCACTCCCCTTTACGATAATATCTTCCCAGCCACACCTCCCTTCTATTCAGATCCATTAAACTTTCTTTTATTAACTCAGTTGACAGATGTTTAACTGAGCACCTACTATGTGCTAGGTGCTGTCCAAGTGCTGGAGGTATGGACAGTAGTGAACTAAACAGACCATCTTTGCTGTCATGGAGCCGATGTTCTGGCCCGGGGAGACAGTACACAGCCCAACACCCCCATCTGGCAGAGTGGGTTCTAGAACAATACAGCAGCAGGGTAGAGAGCACTGGGGTCGGGCAGGTGCTAGTTCTTGAACACTCTGTTGCTTCTAGCTACCCTTTCAACCCTTGCTTTTCAGTCTTCCTCTCCCATCTTCTTCTTGTTTTCTGTCTGCTAATTCTATCCTCTTTACTCTGCTCCATTGGGTTGAACATGAGAGAATTATCCAAGAAAGAGAGAATTGATGTAAATGAGAACTGACGCATTATCCAATTTAAGTGCTTATTAACATCAGCTAAATTTTTGTGCTCCCCCGGCCGTCACCGAGCTGGGCCTGTGAGTCTGAGTGAAGTGACCATTCCCCCCCACACAGGGAGGAGGGGTCTGCTATGGGTCCTGGCAGTGTTGGCTTCTCAGGGGCTTGCTCTTTCTTCCTGTCTTTCCCTCAGAGAAAGGTTGCCTTCCCTGGGCTTTACATTAAATGGCTTCATCCCTTGGTTGTGGCTCATGACAGTATGGGTGGGTCTTTACAGACCCCTTTGCTTCTGAGGGTTTCCAGACAGGTGATCAGTAACTCCCTGGGTTGGAAGTCTGCCCAGGCCTTGCAGAGCATGTCAGGCCTTCTGCTCCCCTGTTAGCCTCACGCCAATCTCTAGAGCCCAGACACCAGGTCTGGTTGGTCCTTGGATCACTGTCTTGACCAACTCTGGACATTTCTGACAGCCCATGTTCATAGGTGCACATTAAACACAGACTTGGGGCAGTCATTCTAACAAGGTTTTCTTTGGCCTTTTCTCTGTTTTTATTTTTATTTTTTCTCTTTTTTAATTTTGGTAAATTACACATAACATAAAATTTATCATCTTAACCATTATTAAGTGTACACTTTAGTGGTATTAACTCACATTGATGTGTAACTGTCACCACCATCCATCTCCAGAACTTTTCTCATCTTCCTAGATATTATGTCCCCATCAAACGCTAACTCCCCCTGCCCCCTCCCTAGTCCCTGACAACCATCATCCTACTTTTTGTCTCTATGAATTTGACTACTCTAGGTACCTCCTGTAAGAGGAATCTCACAGTATTTGTCCTTTTGTGTCTGGCTTTTTCACTTAGCATAATGTCCTCAAGATTTATTCATGTCGTAGCATATGTTAGTATTTCTTTCCTTTTTAGGGCTGAATAATAGTCCGTTGTCTATATACGCACATTATGTTTCCACTCATCTGTCCACGGATGCTGGGTTTTCCATGTTGTAGAGTGACCTCGGAGCAGAGGCCTGCACTCACTTTGATTTCGCCTCTCTGGCTCATTATACACCTCTTTCCCCACCTCTTCCTTTCCTTCTTCTTTCTCTAACATCTCGTACATTTGTTGAGTGTTCAGTTGGGTGTGTAGAGCTGGGAAGCCCTGCAGCAGTGGGCAGAGCAGGCCTCAGGGGAATATGGCCATAAACAGAGAGGCCTGGGAAGTGGGTTTAGCAGCAGGACCATTGGAAGTCTGACACCTTGTCAGGAGAGAACAAATTAGGGACTGTGCTATTTTTTTTTTAACAGTGCTATTAAAAGGGGGCACAGGGTAATGGTGTCTGTGGTTCAGGTGAGGTTTCAAGCTGGGAGGACACACTCTGAATAAGGAGCCGTGTCTGAGAGGAGACCCTGATTCTGCCTTTTTGTTTCTCACCCCTGTGCTCACTCTCTGATCTCCTACTGCACCCCTCTTTTAAAGATTCCTGCCAAATTCAGACCTAATATAGACCCAAGCCCTCCTTACCTCCCACTAAGATAGGCAGATGTTTTTAAAAGAGGTTTCCCCAAACTTGAAAAAGAAGAGAGGAAGAAAATCATGGAATAAAAAGTACAAACAGGATAAAGTTTCTAATGTACAGTTTCTGCAGCTTAAGATCTCAGTAAAGGCTTTGAAGCTCCCACCTGATCCCAAATCGTTTTTCTAAGATAACCACCTTCTCCTTCCAAAGAACTCTTCCAATTCAGAAGCTCCAGGCCAGTGTCTGGCCTCCTTTCCTCTGGCTGCCACCCTGTCTCACAGGGTCCAGGAGCCTGTGCCTTGTCCGCAGGCCACAGAGCAGGCTTCAGGCAGGGGGCAGTCAGGCTGAGAGGTGGAGAAAGTGGTCTGCCTGGATCGTGCTTTAGCTCTGCTCCTTCCCTACTGCAGCACTTTGGGCAGGTTCCCTAGTCTCTGTAAGCCTCACCTGCCATTTCAACATGGGATCATAAAGGACCAATTTCATAGAATTATTGTGAGACTGAAGTGATACAATATATTTAAAGTGCTAGGTGCCTGGCATACAGTCATAAAAACTTAATAAATGTTAGTCAGGGGGAAAAAGCCCTTTGGATTCAAACCTTTCAGCCTCCTTAAGGTTCTCCGCCTCTGGTTCCTGGTCTAAAGGACTGGCTGGCTGGAATGATGCAGAGAATTATCTAGCCCTTTTTGGGCTCTAGCTTTTGGGTGTGTTCATCTCCTGCACATCCTTTGAAGACTCACTCAGGTGGGGAGGAGTGGTCTGGACAGAGGCCTGGTGCACACTGCAGCTGGGCTGGGGCAGGGTCACAGGAGCTCCTGAACTTGGAGGCCTTTGTCAAGAAGTTTCTGCAGTAAGGTGAGTGAGGGAGCTTCTGGTCCAGGCTGCTGCTTGTTGTCCTGAGCCTGCTGTAGGGTGCAGGGTGGGGCCCAGGTGGGATTAGGGGCCTCCTTGGCAGAGTCAGAACATCCTTTCTGGCTTGCGGCTTTTCTCCAACCTGCCTTCCCCACTGAGGCCCACTCTCCCTTGGTCCCCAGGCTCCATCTCGGTGAACAGCCGCAGCACACCGTTCTTGGCCACTGGGGAGAGTGAGATTCTGGACCTGGAGAGCGAGCTGTACCTGGGCGGTCTCCCTGAGGGGGGGCGGGTGGACCTGCCCCTGCCCCCGGAGGTGTGGACAGCGGCGCTGCGGGCTGGCTACGTGGGCTGTGTGCGGGACCTCTTCATAGATGGGCGTAGCCGAGACCTTCGGGGCCTGGCTGAGGCACAGGGGGCTGTGGGCGTTTCCCCCTTCTGCTCTCGGGAGACGCTGAAGCAGTGTGCATCTGCCCCCTGTCGCAACGGGGGCATCTGCCGAGAGGGCTGGAACCGCTTCGTCTGTGACTGCATCGGGACCGGCTTTCTGGGGCGGGTCTGTGAGAGAGGTTAGTCTTCATCCCAGATGACCCCGCTTTTCATTCCTGTGCCCCTTCCTCCTCAGGGTGCCCCTCATAGATCAGCCCTAGGCTTGTCATCCCTGTAATGATTCTCTGGTCTTCTTTATCCCTCCATTGGCCTGTACCTGTCCCCCGCCCTCCTTCTTTCCCCACTCCTGGGGCAGAGGCCACGGTCCTGAGCTACGATGGCTCCATGTACATGAAGATCATGCTGCCTAACGCCATGCACACAGAGGCAGAGGATGTGTCTCTACGCTTCATGTCCCAGCGGGCCTACGGACTCATGATGGCCACCACCTCTAGGGAGTCTGCTGACACCTTGCGCCTCGAGCTGGATGGGGGACAGATGAAGCTCACTGTCAACCTCGGTAACCACCCTGCCCCCCTTCCCTAGCCCTGTCTCTGACTCACACCCCCCTCTGTCTGGAGAAGCTGGTGGTGGTGCCAGCGAAAGGTGCCCTCAGCAGAATTTGGAGGTGGGGAGGTGCCAGCCTGGGTCTGAGCCCCTGAGAGCTCTGTCCCTGGCGAGAACACACAGTGTTGGGTGATGCTCCATGCTCGACAACACTGCGAGGGATAGAGACCCTGAGTGTGGCCACGCATCTGCCCAAGTGCATCTGGGGTGTGATAACTGTCCTCCCAGGGTGCTCATGTGGAGTCTTGACTGCGTCTTTCCTGCACACACACATAATGACACAGCTCATTCTTGGTTGTTGGCTCATCCACCTGCTCATTCATTTGGGAAGCACTTGCTGATTCCTACTGGGTACTAAGCCTGAGCTCAGTGCAGTGGTGAACACAGAGATGAGAAAGACCTGGCCCCTGCATACAGCTGCCCTTATCTGTTCCACTTAGTTTAAAGAACCCCCTGTGTCCACGTGTGTGGGTGCCTGTGTATACACTGGACACACAGGGATATGACATCCTCCCCTTGTCTAGCACCATGTATGTTCACATTTGAGTTCCATAGCTTTCCTGTGAAGACACCACATCACTGGATAGGCACTACTATCCCTGTTTCATAGATTATGAAACCCATATATTGACATGTCCAACATCAGAGCTAGTGATGGCAGGAGAGGAGCTGGACTCAAATCCAGGTCATTTTCCTTAAAGAGCAGTGCTGTTCCCATCACCTACAACAGATCCGGGGTGGGGTTGGGGGTCAGGCTGCTGGCCCCCACCATTAGCCCACTCACCGTCTCTGCCTCTGCCCGTGGGTGAGAGCAGGTCTCGGCTCTACCTCACCTCGCAGTCCCCCGGATGCCCATGTAGGCTGGACCATGAGTCCTGTTAGCTTTGTTTGGGGCTTCAGCTCTCATGATCAGGGCAAAAGAAAACAGCAGGTTCACTCATTCAGCTAGTATTTATGGGACACATCATAAGTGCTAGGTATGTTCCGAGCCAGGGGCTACAACAGTGACTAAGCAAGGCCCTCACCCTTATGGAGCTTTCAGTGCAGGGGAGCCCCGGGAGTGAGAGGTCTGCAGCTGTCAAATCTGCCCCATTTCAGGCTGGCCTCTGTAAGTATATAAAAATGTAACAACCAAGGACCTGCCATGTGGGAAGTCTTCAGGCCACGAGGGTCCCTGGTTGTGTTCTGGTCCTAGAGGAGAAGCAGGGCTCTTCTGAGTCCTCAACTGGAGAGAATACAGTGTTGAGCTTTTAAATATTTATCTGGAGTCTCATCCTAACGTTGGTCTCCAGTGCACTTGTGGACTTTTGGGGGCCCATTACTTTGTTAATATATTTACACTGTGTCGTTTCCTTTCCCCTTTTGGCCACCTGGCCTTGGTACTCCTAGGGCGAAGGTTTGCCAAGAGAGGTGGTGGCTGGAGGAGGGGGAAGTGTGCAGACGGCCAGGGCCTCAGAGTTGGTTTGAAGGGTTCCCTGCAGCTCTGCTTGTAACCACTATCACAGCCCATAGCATAGGTAGTGGGTGGCAGCTCTGCAGGGGAAAGCAGGTTGGGAAACAGCCTTTGGCAAATACCCCATAAGTCTGCACAATGGCCCCCTGCATCTCAGAAACTGTCACAGGAGGAAGGCACCAGCCCAGGACGCCATGAGTGGCCCTGTGCCTCTCAGACTGCCCAGTTCTGTGCAGAAAGCATGAGATCCCCCCTCCTTCTCCTTCACCTGGGCATGTGTGTTCTCTGTGTGACTAAGCACATGGCTCTGTGCTTGGTGGGGACAACAAGGGAAAGTCTGGGACCTTTGATTTGCAGGAAAGGCAGATGCTTCTTGCTTCCTAGGTCCCCCAAGAAGAAACTTGGCTTTCTTTAGGTTAGACAGGAGTTAGTGTCCTTGGCCAGGAAAACATATCCTGGTGGGCCCTTGGGACCTTTCACCCTTAGGGAAAGTCTGGGACCTTTGATTTGCAGGAAAGGCAGATGCTTCTTGCTTCCTAGGTCCCCCGAGAAGAAACTTGGCTTTCTTTAGGTTAGACAGGAGTTAGTGTCCTTGGCCAGGAAAACATATCCTGGTGGGCCCTTGGGACCTTTCACCCTTCTGATCTACCCTCTCCTTCCCATGGGCATGCTTTTCTGTCTGTGCCACGTAAGTACTCAGAAGTTGGAGAACAAGGTGGCCCTCCAGGAAGACCCATCATGTTAAGAACAGGCTTCTCAGACTGACAGCCAACAGGACTGTCCCCCTGCCCATCTCTTATGCCTGTCTGTGCCCCTGCCCTATCCACAGGGATGTATGTGCTGAGATGCCATCTTTAGCATAACTTGTGACAAGCTGTGACCAAATGTTTGGTGCAGACATATCTGTCTACAGATACTTCCTGATGCGTGTATACAGAAAGGTATGGCCACTGTGTGGGCACCAAGGACACACAAGTGGTCCCTACTCAGCCACTCAGCCTTGGACTGGGGTGGGAAGAGTGCTAGGCTTGGGGCCAGAAGACCTGGGGGCTATCCCTGGTATCTTTCACTGCTGGGTCAGTCATTTCCCATCTCTGAACTTCTGTTTTCTTATCTGTAAGATGGGGATAAGAATCCTTGCCCTGCCAGCTTTATGTAGTGATTGTGAGGCTCAAATGGAATAATTATACACATGCAAGACACAAACATAGAGACCCACCCAGCCTTCTTGAAGGAAAACCGTGCTGTAATAGGGACCTAAGTTTGGAGCCAGGCCTGGGGGCTTGCTTCCACATAGTGTGATCCAGCTGGCCCCTGCCTCAGGAGCCCTATTCTGATGCCCATCCTTCTCACGACCCAGGGCCTGCAGGGCCTCACAGAGAGGCAGCAGCACCAAGGCCCCAGTCCTGGGCTGTACTCGCTGCTGGGGAGTTGGGAGAAGCCTGATGAGGCTTCGTCTCTGGCCTCATGGTCGCATGGGGAGGGAAGCCAGAGTTGCAGGAGGCTGCTGTCCAGCTCAACAGGCACACAGTGGAATGAAATAGATTCAGTGCTGGACCTGAAGGGGAAGCTGAGGCTGCCAGTGACCAGTTGGTGGGGCAACCAGAGGAGGCACTCAGTGTCAGCCTCAAGAGGTGGAGTATTTGCTAGACAAGAGAGGGCTGAAAGGCGCTGCTGCCTCCTTCCACACACAGGAACTGGATCCTGCCTCCTGTCCCTGCTGCCAGCCCCCACCATATCTGCAGACACTGAGTGAGTTCCCTGGGCTCTGCAGTCTGCAGCCCCTGAGCAGGGCAGCTGAACTCTGTTCCTAGAGAATGGTAGAGTCCCATGGATTCTTTGTCCTATTCCAGGTTGGCCTGGGTTTCTGCCTTCTGCCCTGTGTCTGGCCTCTGGGGCCAGTGCCCACCCTGGCCTGTCCCCTCCTCTCCCTCCCTGGAGTTGTCCTCCACCAGATGTGCCCATGGGGTCCTACCTGCCAGTGCTGCTGACATGAAGGCTACAGTGTAACCTGAAGAATCTCCGAGCTGCAAGGTGTCGCCTCTTTCAGCCTGCCTTTCCCACACCTGTGCATTACCCATGAATTGGGCGTGCATTAAATGTGAATTGCTCGTGCATTTCCCCACTAACAGGAGGCCCTCCACCTCTGTTCTGATGCCTTCAGTATTAGGAGCTCCCACCTCTCAGATGGCCATTCTGATCATTGGCTTGTTCCTTGGTTGGGTAGTTACTACCTTTTTGAAATTCCCACTAATTCTGCCCTGGTGAGCCATACAGAGAAAGTCTAATTCTTGTTCACATTTTAAATCAAGCTAAATACACTTATATCCCAAAGTCCTTTAGTCCCTGGGGCCATGGGAAGGGTGTATTGTCTTGCCACCAGGGGCTGGTCATAGTAATCGAGCTCCTTCCCTAGGCCGGGCTGCTGGAGGTGGCTGTGAACAAGGGCTGCACCAGAGTACATGCTACCACTCTGTGAGGTCACTTCTGAGATGAGATGAGGCCGGTGGGCTTGTACAGGAGCTTTGCGTCTGGCATCTCCAATCTGTAGGGCCCAGCGGGGCAGGGGCCAGGAAGCCTGTGTTCTTTTCCCTGAGGTCCTTTCCATGCCGATTGCTTTCTCCCTCCTGTCCCATCATGTGCTTGCAACAGGACTGTATGTGCAGTAGGGGCCTTGGGGGTCTGCGCAGGTCAATCTCTTCTGTTGATTCTCTGCACTGACACACAGGTCACTAGTTAATGAGTTATTAGTTAGTGCTACCTGCACCATGCTTGGGTGAGTGTATGTGCTGGAGGATGGGGCTGGCTCTCCCCTGGGGTGCCCATCTTCACGGTGTTCATTCTCCTCAAACCCCCTGGAGCAGGGACTTCTGAGGGGGTAGTAAATGCAGGGTGCTTGGGTGAGTGTATGTGCTGGAGGATGGGGCTGGCTCTCCCCTGGGGTGCCCATCTTCACAGTGTTCATTCTCCTCAAACCCCCTGGAGCAGGGACTTCTGAGGGGGTAGTAAATGCAGGGTGTGGGCCTGGAGCTGACACCTCTTCTCTGGACAGATGGACCCCCCCATTCCTGGTGCTCCCCTGCTGGAGAGAGGAAAGAATTGAGCTCCTCCTTTGGCCTTTTCCCCAACAGGGGCTTGGCCTGCCCTTCCAGACCCCTTTTTTCTTTTTTGGACCCTTCATTGGTGAAGACTCTGCTGGCCCCAAGAAAGCTCCTGTGACCTGACTCCAGGGCCTGGCACCCTTCCACCCTCACCCCGACCTTCCTCCTCTTGCTCCTCTGTCCAGTCTGTCCTTCCTTCTACTCCCTCTTTTCTTCTTCTTTTCTCTCTGCACCCTTTCCACCTCCTCCTGTGACTTCTGACTTCCCCCTGTGTCTGCCACCTGACCTTTCTCTGCCTCCTCTGCCCTTCGCTGGGTACCAGGCTGTGGCTCAAGGTCCCGGTTGCTCTCCCCACTCTTCTGCTGTGGTTGACAATGCGTGTGGAGCTCAGCTGTACTGCCCGATGGACCCATGACCCCCAGAGTCACAGGGGGTATCTGTTTACCTCTACTGCAGGAACCTTCAGGGGTCCAGGGGATGCCAGGTGTCACCCCCACCCTTTGCTTCCTGGGTCATGGTGTATGTGGGCAGAGCCAGTTCTGGGAGGAGTGACAAATGGCCAGGATATTACTACTCACCGAGTACTGGAGACTGCCCTCACTCCAAAAGGCAAGGGCCAGCCCAGTACACACCTGTTGCCTACTCTCTGTGCAGGATCCTCCTGTTCCAGACCCTCAGCCCATGGGGAAGGGAGCCGAGGGTTTGTAGGGAAGTGCTTCACCTGAGGTCATACATGTTAGGACTAAGATGAGGATCCAGTTCCCCTGCTGCACGGTGCAGGGCTTTCTGCAGCTCCAGCCAGCCCAAGGAGTGATGCAGGCATCCTAAGGGCCTAAAACCTGAGCTTCATAGGACCCCAGTGCTTTGTTCCCTCTGCAAGGGCTGGCTGACTCTCCACCTAGTGGGTGATGTATCTAGCCAGAGGACTCCAGGGTCCTAGACTGTAGGTTCTGTAGACATCTGCTTTCTGACCACGTGGGGCCTTCCCAGCCTTGAAGTTGGAGGATAGCAATGCCAGGACTGGGGCAGGGGCAGGAAACTTTGCTTATGGTGCGTGCTTGTCTCCAACTTGCTTTGTGTTTTCAGAGAAGTCATATTTTCGGAGCCTCTGTGTCTCCATCTGTGAGGCCTTGGCCCCTCTCTAGGAAAACAGATTAAATACTAGTTTCTTCTTCAGGTGAAGGACCACCCTAATCCCTAGTGGCAGCCTGGCATCCCCCAGGATAGGGAGGGGTATAAGGAAGGTTCCTGTAGGGGAGGTGCTAGCCCTTGGGGCTTTGGGAGGTGTATGACTTCGGGAAGGGGGCCCTGGGGCAGACCCCTCCATTTAGCTCAGAGCCCAGAGGGGCACAGGGAGTGATGTGTAACATCTAGGCTCTGAGCAGGGAGTCGCCCCAGAGCAGGGGATGCAGGGACCCTGACCCTCCCCACCCATCTCCCTACCAGAGACTGGGGAGATGTGGGGTTGGTCAAGCCCTAAGCCCCCAATGATCCCCTGTACGACTGAGATTCCCAAGGTGCCCATCTCCCTCAGACACGAGAGGACTGGGCCTCTCTAAGAAGGGGGACACAAGCCCTCTTCCCATCACCTGACTGCCCTGCCTCCCAGCTCTGGGGAGGGTTGGTACCCTCTTGGGGGCAGGAGGGACAGGGGGCCAACTGAAGAAGGGGAGAGGGCACCTGGGCACGCGTGGTCCCCGGAAAGTGGCCCCGGGAGGAACCCTGGCCTGCAGACACCCCTCCCTGTGAAGGATGTAAAAAAAAAAATGAAAGGTCATGAGTGCTCTGGACTTAAATGTCTTCCATAAGATAGAATGTTGAAATTCAAGTAATGAATTCTCACTACAAAATCTTTCTCTCTCTCCAAAAAACCGTACATCCGCCTTGGCCGTGGGGGGCAGGCGTTGGGGGTGGGATGGGGGTTTGGTGGTTGTGGAGGGCAGAGTGGACCAACTGAAGCAGAACTAGGGAGAGTTGGTGGAAAGTCCATGGCCAGGATGCCCACTGAATTGGGGAGGGGAAGACTGGAATACCCTGTTGCCCAAGTCAGCAGGAGGGTGGGGAGGAGGTAGAAAGTGAGGGCTGGGGCAGACTTGGGTGGTACCTGCTGTAGGACACTCCACCAGCCTATTGGCGGGAAGGAGCCTGGTGTGTCACTGCATCTCCAGAGGTGGCCACGAGGGGGAAGGCAAGGCACACAGGAAAAAAGATGAAGGCAGGAGGGGAGCTGTCCAGGGACTCAGGGTTCAGTCCTCTGTAGCTCCTGTGTCGGCTGGGGGGCAAGTTTCTGCCAAAGGGAGGCTCTTTAAGAGGTGACAGTGCTGGCTCTCAGTAGGGGTCAGATGGAGAGCGGGTGTGGACACTTCTGGTGTCCTGGTGTGCCTGGGTTCAATGCTCTGTCTCAGAGAGATTGTTTCCGCATGATGTGTCCTGAGGTTATGCAAGGGAGCACATGAATGTGGCAGGTACAGGCAGCGCCCCTTTCTTTACGTGTGTGTGACATGATGGATGCACGCCCGAGTTCCTTTGATGCCAGCACCCTCGGCCCCGGCTGGGGTGAGCACCTCAGGGCCCAGAGATGACCTGGGAATGCTGCAAAGTCCAGCAACTTTTTAAATAAGTATGTTTTGTTTTAGACTTGGGAAGCTGATAATCCTGGTCTTGAATAAATGGTCATAATTTCTAAGAAACAGAACATTCCCCTCTCTGGCAGTGCTGCAAATTCATGTGCCATGCATGTGGTTTCATGTCCTGTTGTGTGGAGTTAACCAGCCACGTGCACAAAGGTCACAGTGGGTCCCACTGTAGATGAGAGATTGGGTGTCTGTGTGGAGGATGAAGCTGTGGCTGTGTGTTTACATTTGGGTGTGGGATAAGGCTGGATGAATTTTGAAAGTTTTAGGTCTGTGCTCATGTGCTGGGAATTTAGCTGTTGGCTGCACACATCGAAGGTCCTTAGAAGCCTGGGGGAGAGTATGATGGTTGTAGGTGTGAGTGTCTGCGTGCAGGATCTCAGGGCACAACTCCAGGGGCACCATTTACTTCATGTTCTATGCGAATGGCACTTTCTGAAGCCACAGGATGTGGCAGTGCTGAGCGCATCTGGGTCTATGACTGGGGCATAAGAGCTCCGTATGCACACACTCTGGGTGAAAAGTGAGGCCAGGAGTGTACACTTGTGTGCATGGTGTGTGGCACGGTTGGATATATGCCATAGGACGTGTGTTTATGTGCATGCATGTGCACATGTGTGGTGGGGATGCTGGCTGTGTGCCTGGGGTGGGACATGAAGCCATCTTGTGGGTGCGTGTAAGTGCCATGCTCACTCCCCCCTTGGTGCTGCAGGTAAAGGCCCCGAGACGCTCTTTGCGGGGCACAAGCTCAACGACAACGAGTGGCATACGGTGAGGGTGGTGCGGCGTGGCAAGAGTCTGCAGCTGTCTGTGGACAATGTGACCGTGGAGGGTAGGTGGTCTGGTCCCAGGGAGGTGGACACATCTCTAGTGACCTGTGCTTGGCCCAATTCTTGGTGACCACAGCCTGGGAAGCATTCTGGGGAGCCACCTCTACCATTTCTCACCCCTCAGGGGTGATATATCATTGGGGTCTGGACCCCAGGGACCACTTCAACTCCCCACAGGCAGCATTTCCCTGGAAGCCTGCCATCCCTGGACTACTGAGTCCCACAGCTACTCCTGGAGCTGTGCTTGCTGCTAGTGCCTAGTGGAAGGCATCTCTGCTGATGCTCACGTGTGGCCCTCGAGTGGAGGGGAGGCTCCTGGGAACCCAAGGCCCAACCCCAGAAATGATCCTGCACTCTATGCCCCAATGCCATCCCCCTCATCTTAGTCTCCTGTCCTGAGCAGGGCAGATGGCTGGAGCCCACACGCGGCTGGAGTTCCACAACATTGAGACGGGCATCATGACAGAGCGGCGATTCATCTCCATGGTGCCCTCTAACTTCATCGGGCACCTGAGTGGGCTGGTATTCAATGGTCAGCCCTACATGGACCAGTGCAAGGATGGCGACATCACCTATTGTGAGCTCAATGCTCGCTTTGGCCTGCGTGCCATTGTGGCCGATCCTGTCACCTTCAAGAGTCGCAGCAGCTACCTGGCGCTAGCTACGCTCCAAGCCTATGCATCCATGCACCTCTTCTTCCAGTTCAAGACCACAGCCCCCGATGGGCTTCTCCTGTTCAACTCGGGCAACGGCAATGACTTCATTGTCATCGAGCTGGTCAAGGGGTGAGGGGCTGGGCATTGCGCCGCTGTCAAGGAAGTGGCCACCCCTCTCCCCCACCGCTGACCCAGATACAGTGGGTGTCCAATCCCCCAGACCACAGGTTAAGATTCAGGTTCCCAGCCACCAGCCGAGAGGCTCCCTCCTCAGCCAGGATGGAGAAGGAGCACTGTCTTCCAGTCCACCAGTGGCCCCGGCTGCATCTGTGCCAGGGGTTCCTGCTCGTATCTGTTCTCTGTCATTGTCCTGGCTCAGGCCTTCCACCCTCTCCTCAGGCAGAAGTCAACCTTGCTCCTCTCTTGCCTTAGAGGACCCCACCCCAGAGCAGCTCAGTCCCTGCCTCCAGAGGATCCTGTGGATCAACACCCACCCCACCCCCACCAGCTCCTCTTTTGAGCCTATGTCACAGCAGCCAGCCCCTCAGTGGCCCTCCTTCCCACATTCTTTCCATGATAGGACCTCACACCATAGCCCTCTTGCCATTGGTTTGGGTCTCTTTCCTATGGGGTCTCTCAATTCCTTCTTCCCATGGCACCTAGGACCCCTGTCAGCCCCAGCTGCTCCCTTACCCTGTCTTACCAGCATTACCCCCATCGTGACCCAGTGTCTCCTCCCTACTGTGGGGCAGGTACATCCACTACGTGTTTGACCTGGGGAATGGCCCATCCTTGATGAAGGGGAACTCAGACAAACCAGTCAATGACAACCAGTGGCACAACGTGGTGGTGTCCAGGGACCCAGGCAACGTGCACACGCTCAAGATTGACTCCCGCACTGTCACACAGCACTCCAATGGCGCCCGAAACCTCGATCTCAAAGGTGGGGCTGGGGCCTCTGGAGAAGGCCTGGCCCTAGCCCAGATACCCCTTGCCCCAGCAAGATCACCCCCTCCTGGAATGCTGCTCCACTCTTGTGATTTCCTCTTTCCCCAGCCAGTAGTTTCCATCTCTTTCCTGTTTTTCACTATATCCAGCCTGTCATTTTTCTGCCAAAGTTTTGCTCAGCTGTCCTGTGAGTCTGCCTCTAAACAAGTGAAAGCTGGTTGCAGGATGTGTTTCATGGGGTACTTGGTGGCCTCATTCTAGAGCTAGGAGCGGGTAGTCCAGGCCTTCCAAGGACCTCTTGGACTTCCAAAGTTCAGAAGCCTGCCTTGGTTGAGGGCTGGAGAGAGAACAGGGAGCTTAGTGTGCTGGTGGATGCTGCCCTGGTGGGGCAGATGGTGAAGGGCAGAGTAACTGGGGTCCCCAAATCATGTACCTTGGACTGGACTAGCTCTGGGGACTCTTTGGACCCAGGCTTCCCTGGTGTGCTCAAAGTCACACCAAGGTCCCACATTCTCCAGAGACTCTTCAGTAGTCACTGAAGTGGTCATTGCCTGCCCCCGGAATGGGTGATCAGAGAGCGGGAAGAGGAGGATGAGCTAAGAGGCCTGGGCTTTGAAATAGGAGAGATGAGGCCTGCAGCTTCTCCAGAAGCCACTGGAGGCAACGTGAGCTCTCCTCTTATACATACCCAAAGCATCCCGCAGCCCCATAGGGACCCCTGAGTGTCAGAGTGACTCAAACTGTCAGAGCTTGCGGGGAGGGTCCTCAGAGACCATTGAATTAACCCTTCTGGTCAGATCTTAGATCTGCCAAATTTCCAGGCATAGTGCTGCAAATTCTCCTCGCTCCCAGTAGGGGGCGATGTGTCACAGAGAATCCAAAGCGGCAGCAAACCCAGGGGTTATTTTGGCTGGTCTGTGTCGCCTTGAGCCTGTGGCCAGGGCAGCAGATTGACCAGTGTCTTGGCTGAAGTTCTTCTATGGGATACCTTCCAGGGAGTTGGGCTCCATGTGGGGGATCAGGTGTCCCTGAGGAGAGCAGCTTCCCAGAGACCCCAGGCCAAGGTTGTCTTGGGGGAAGGGAACTGGGCTTAAAACTCCCTAGCAGAGAACTGAGAGTTGGGAGAGGCTTGAAGTTCTGGGAATGGGAGATTTCAGGAGGGAGGGAGCGGGGGTGGAGGGGATTGGGCCCGCACATCTATGAAAGGCCCTGATTACAGGCCGGAACTGGAATCAAACGTGTGGGAGAGAGCATGGAGCAGGTTTCTCCAGCTGTCCCCCTACCCCCCACTCCCCCAGGCATCTGGGCTTCTTCGGGAGGGGAGCAGACAGATGGCAAAATGTAGAAAGAAGGAAGAAGTGGAGGGTGGGTAGCTGCAGGTTGCTAGATCTCAGTACGGGACCTGGAGTCTGGGATGGGAAACCTTGAGCCTGAGAAAGCTGGGAGGACCTGACAGCTGGATGCTGGTGTCCTGGGAAGGGAATGCGGACTGGGATGTCTAGGTGTTGACCCCACTCCCTTTGCAGGGGAGTTGTACATTGGTGGTCTGAGCAAGAATATGTTCAGCAACCTGCCCAAGCTGGTGGCCTCCCGGGATGGCTTTCAGGGCTGCCTGGCTTCAGTGGACCTCAACGGGCGCCTCCCCGACCTCATCGCCGACGCCCTGCACCGCATCGGGCAGGTGGAGAGGGGCTGTGATGGTGAGTGGAGGGTGGAGGAGTTAGGTGTGACCCTAACTGCAGGAGGACCAGCCGCAGAGGCAGACCAGGGCAGGTAGCCCCACTTGCAGAGTGGTCTTCCTTCTCAGGCCTTGTGGGAACCTGCTCCCACAGCTCTGGAGTAGAGGTACAGGCAGATGAAAAGTCTCATTGTCTCCCACCCTGGTCCTTTACCGAGTCCAAGGCCAAGCGTAGCTGTCGTTGAGCCCCTATTCCCACTCCTATCCCCCCTACCCTGTCAGTTTTTGGCCCTTCCAGCCTGGCAGAGCTCTTTAGGGATTTCTCTGCCTGGTCTTGAAGCTTCTGTACCTCCTGGGGAGGGAGGGGGCATGGCTGAGCTGGGGGTGTTCCTTCCTCCTGCCCCTTCCAGGCCCCAGCACCACCTGCACCGACGAGTCCTGTGCCAACCAGGGCGTCTGCTTGCAGCAGTGGGATGGCTTTACCTGTGACTGCACCATGACTTCCTATGGAGGCCCTGTCTGCAATGACCGTAAGTGCCTGGGAGGGCTGGCTGGTGGGGGTGGGGGTGGGAGGCTAGCAGAAAATCCAGGCCTATTCCCAGTCATAGGGACTGCCAGGGAGAAGGTGGGTCTTTGAGAGCACAAAAACTGTACTGCTTGCTTCCTTTTCATCACTTGTCACAAAAGTCCAAGGGGATCTGCTGGCTGCTGTACCCTCTTGGAATGTTTCTCTTGGGGCTGTGCAGGATTGAATCTGCCTGAATCGCTAAGGCAATCATTGATAGATGGCTTTTCCTCCTCCTTCTGAGCTGGTGAGACATGTTCCCTTCACCTGGAACCAAAGACGTCAGCCTCTGTGGGGTGAACTTGTTGCTGTCCCATGTGATTTTGGTGATGGCCTTACATGTTGTACTTGTACCTCACACATAAATACTACTGCACAGGGAGGGGGGCTGTTATCAACCTTCACTTGTTGCTGTCCCATGTGATTTTGGTGATGGCCTTACATGTTGTACTTGTACCTCACACATACATACTACTGCACAGGGAGGGGGGCTGTTATCAACCTTCACCCCCTTTGCCCTAGTGCCCTCAGAAGTTTGCTGGACAGCTAGTTCCCCTGGATGTAGGATCTGCCCTTCTCTCTTTCTTCCCCAAGAATCCCAGCTGCAGGATGTACCCTTGAGCCACAAGGACACTTCCTAGTGTCCTCGCTTAGTTCTTCTCTTCCTGGCTGGGCATCTGCCTGCCAACTTGCATATTATTTGAGGCCTCTCCTCAGAGAGTGCAGCTCCAGCAGCAGTTTCCAGTCCCTAGTGGTTGGTGGCCAGCAGCTGGTTAGAGCCTGGCAGAGGGAGGGCAGTGTGCCAGGAGCTGGTGGAGAGGCAACCTTCTACTTTGTGGTGGGAGGAGGGCTTTGGAGCTTCCCTTGGATGATTGGGCTGCAGGCAGGGGGCTGAACAGAGGGCAGCCTCTTCAGGCATCTTTCCTGGGGTAGCCCTGCTGAGAGACCAAGTAGAAAAGCCTGGGAAAGGATACACACACACACACACACACACACACACACACACACTCACACACACACACATACACATGTGTGTGTGCACATGCACATGTGCGCACAGGTGGACGAAGGAGACCAAGTAGAAAAGCCTGGGAAAGGATACACACACACACACACACACACACACACACACTCACACACACACACACATACACATGTGTGTGTGCACATGCACATGTGCGCACAGGTGGACGAAGCTTCTCTAGTTTACAAACATGGAAATGAGGCCTGGAGAGGGATAGTAGGTTTCTGGAGGTAGTTAATAACAGATCTGGGAAAGAACCCGGGTCACTGCTTTTCTTTCATAGTACACTGCCCAACCTTCATCATCTGAGTGTGAGTTCTGGGTTTCTTACAGGAGAAACCTACTGTTTCATGGATTGGGGCTCTTGCGTGGGTGTTGGTTTTCATTTCCTCTTTGAAAAAATATATTCTCAGGCATGGTCAGCTCTTGGGTACCACCACATCCCCACTCCGTCCCCCAGGATTTTCTTATCTGACCTGATGCTCTCTCTGCCTTCCAAAGCCTCCCAGACAATGGCCAACTTATGGGAATTGCAACCCTGGCTGCCATGGTATAAAGACAGGGCTGTGGTTGGGCCTCTTTCTCTTTGGGTAACTCATCTTTGCACAGATCTGGAGATGATGGTAACTTTGTTGCTTAATAGTAACACTCCTCACTGATGGTTTAGTGTTCAGCAGATTACAAAACCCTTTTGCTTTGACCCTCAGAGAAGGCAGTGGATGGACACTACCCTTTCTGTTTAACAGATGAGGAAACCCAGGCCTCAGTAAGAGGCAGTTACAGTTACTTGTCCCAAGTCACAGGGAGTCAGTGCTAAGATCTAGGTGCTGCTGATTCTGTTACCTCCTGCTGCTCATTCAGTTCTCGGGGTGGTGGTGGTACCCATGGTGGGCATTTGCTGCTCAGAGTGGAAGGAATAAGGATCAAGAAGCATTGCTGCTCATCGTCATTACTTCGCCCCACAGAGTACAGCCTTCTGGGAAGGGGCATAGAGATGGACTGGGGGGTTTATGGAGTTGCAGTAACTTTCAGCAGGGGTGGGAAGAGCAACTTCTCTGGGTTCCAGGATGGTGGGATGCAGGGAGAGTTGGGGCTGGAGAGCAGGGCCTGTTTTGGGAAGTGTCATCATCTCCAAGCACTGGCACAGGTACCTGGCAGCACAGCCTGAGGAAAGCTGTGGAGCAAAAGACAAGGTGGGTGCATCCTGGGAGCCTGCACAGGCCCGGTGTGCTGCTCCTCAGTGCTGGCCCTGGGGTACCTCTGAGACCTCTACCCCTCAAGGGCAGAGCAGGAATTGTGGGGCAGGGACTACTTCCTCTTCTCCTGGGGCTGCTGCTCCCCAGGGCTTGTCTGTTTGGTTTTTCATGCTGTCCCTCTATGGCTGGTCTTCATGGAACCTCAGGATGCACAAGATCAAGCAGAAATCCAATGGAGAGGCCCCTCAGTTAGCTACATCCCCCACCCCAGTGAGAAGGCCCTGGAGGCTCTGGGGGCACTGAGGGGTCTGGACCTGGAGAAAGGGAGGAGGGTGGCAAAGGCCAAGGTAGATGGAGCAGGAACCTGTCCTCTGAGGGCTGCAATTGGGGTGTGGCACTATCTGTTGGGGGAGAGACTAGGAAGAGCGGAGGTCTGACCCTCAGAACTGCCTTTCCCTGCTTATTGCCTCAGTTTCTCCATCTATAACATGGAGACTGCGCCTGGGGCTGAAGGGACCTCTGTGTTGCGTTAAGGCTCAGGAATCTCTGCTCTGGGAAAACAGGTGAGAAAAGATCAGAGGATGAGAACCCATCTCTGTGATGAGAGAGAGGAAAGTGGAGAGAGAATGAAAAAGAGAATATGAAATGAGAGAGAAAGGGGAGATAAAAGGAGGGACACTTCCTGAGGTGCAGCTGAAACCCCAGGGCTGGGGTTTGGGACCGATGAGATCCCGTTGGGCCTGCTTGCTGCCCTGTCTTTCAGAGGCTGTTTCCTGCCTCTCCAGGTGGTAGGTTCCTCACCATTTCTCCTTGTCTCTGTTCATCTCTGCAGCCTCTATTGATCCCTTGCACACCTTGGTTTCCCCCTCTTTCTTATCCTCTCTGTCCCCCCTCCCTCCCCAGCTTCACCCCCTCCAATGCTCTCCACTTCCCACTCACTGATATTGATTGGCCTCCAGGCGGTTTCCCTTCCTCTCCTCTTGCCACCGGCTCCTCCCTCCCTCCCTCTGGGACCATAAATTTTCTGCCTGCTCAGAGCTGTGTCAGTCTATATTCCAGAGCCAGGTGCATGAGAATGGGATATAGAAGTTGGGAGGACATGGCCGTCTGGAACCCCAGCCCTGCTCCCAGCCTGCAGTCTCTCCTCCTTCATGGGGCCACACACAAAGCTTCCTCTTGGGTGCCTCTGAGGACCTCTTCACTTTGGAAGGGCTCGGGGGCCAAATCTGGCCCTGGCATCTAGCAGGGTGGCAGGGTGGCAGCAGCAGTGAGGGAGTGCTCCCGGGTCTAACTGCATCCTGGACCTGGGGGCAGCACGTGGGGCTCACGGTGACAAGTTTTGCTCCGAAATTGAATTCAGAATCAATAAGCAGGAGCCAGCTCTCTCCTGCCCTTCCCCTCCTGCTCTCTCCCAGCCCTCTCCTGTCTACCTTCACCTGCTCCTTCCTTTTGCCCATTTTTTTTTTTTTTACCTGCCTCTCCTCTCCTCCCTGCTACACTATTTCTTCAGCTTCTTCCCCTCTCCACCTCTGTCTCCCTTTTCCTCCTCCTGCTCTACGCTCTGCCTCCTCCCACAACACCCTCTCCCCCTGCCTGGGCAGGATCATGGAGGTGCAGAGGTGGCATCCATATGAAGGGAAGGGGGTCTCCCTGCACTTACCTCCAGAGCCATGACAGATGCTTCCCAGAGGTCCCCAAAAGTTTGGGGGGGCAGGTCTCAGTTGGGGAGGGGGCACCCTGAAGGAGAAGTGGTTTCCTCAGCTGTACGTAAGTGTCCCTGGAAAACTTTTTGCCTTAAGTGGGACACTCAGTGGGCTGGTGTCCTTGAGACCTCTGCGGAGGGATTAGTTGAGGCTGGGGGAGAAGACTTATGAGTGGAGAGGAAGGACTGGAGGAGTCCAGGATGGGCTTGTACAGGGAGGTAGGGAGCACCCTTTGCGGGGAGGTGGTGAGGAGACTGTATGTTCCTCTGGTGTGTCTTACTTTTGAGTACCTTTGGGGCTCTGGGGGCATTATTTGTGTGTGTATGGATGACCCTGTTTTGGAGGGTGAGCTTGGGAGTGGGGGTGGGGGTGTCTGTGTATGTTAGCCATTCATTGCCTGTGTTCAAGCACGTATGTATGTATGCATGTATGCTTCTGTGAGCATGTGTACACGCTTGGCTGGGAGCGAACTGGGGTGCCCGTGTCTGAGCACATGCCTGCATATATGTGTCTGAGCCTGTGGGTCTGTCCAAACACTGGTGCCTGTATGGGCACGTGGGTGTCTCCATACCTAAGCCAGTCCACATCTCAGCGTGCACGTGTGTTCCGAGGAGTGCGTGCAGAGGTGGCGATGGCCACATCTCTGCGCGCTGGACCAGCCAGCACTATTGGGGTTCGTCCAGGTGGGGACGGAGGGGAGGGGGATGAAGAGAGCGGCCTCTCTTGCTAGCCTCAGTCCTGTTCAATTATTCAGCAGGGCCCCTTCTTGGACGAGGGGGGTGTGAGGGAGGAGAGCGCGCGCCCGGACGCGGGGGAGGGGCGGGGCGCGCGCAGGAGAGGCGAGCGCCGAGCGGGCTAGCCAGGTGCTGCGCGGCGGAGCTGTCCAGCGCCGCCCGCAGATCGGGAGCCGCTGTGGTCCCTCCGCCCTGCCTGCTGTA